GTGTGTGTGTGTGTGTGTGTGTGTGTGTGTGTGTGTGTGTGTGTGTGCGCGTGTGTGTCTCTCTGTGTGTGTGTGTGCGTGCGCGTCGCTCCACAGGTTGAGTCCAGAGATCTTCCTGAAGAGGCCGGTCGTTGAGGGGAACCGCTGGCGTCTGGACTCCATTCTGAAACGCAAAGCGGTGAGCGGGAACCGGCTTCTTCAGTGGTCTGTGGTCAGCAAGTGAGACAGTTATGTCTCTTTATGGAGGACTAAAGCTGCCGTCATAATAAAGAAACAACAGACTCAATCATCAAATAAATGTGCAGGTTCATTTGAAAATGAATAATGACGCACGGGGAAAAAAATGACTTATTTATTTGACAAATGACTCGTATGTATATTCTTTTTAATTTATTATCGTCTTTCAAAATGTGTTTGTTTTTATTTATTTTTCAGTTTTGTTAATTTCTGTATTTAAATAAGTAAATGAAGGGACAACATGAATACATTGGGATGTGATCAAGTACCTAAATGTATGGTACACAACAAGTTATTTGGTAAACAAATGAATACATTTAATTTATTTATCTATTTCTGCGCATATTTATTTATTTTCAAATGAACCTGCACATTAATGTGATAACGAAGGTTTTTATTTCTACATTTATTTCTTTATTATAATAAATGAATCAATGACTCATTAATTAAATAGATGAAATAATGTCGGCTTTAGTTCTTCAGGTTTAGCACAAAGCCGCCAGTGAGACGTCAAACGCACGTCATCGCAGAAGAAGAGCTGGAACCAGACGTTCATGTCGTGATGTTCATACAGATGTTTGTTGAGACGTTGGAGCTGCTGATGTTCAGCTGTCGGTGTTTTCACAGCAACAAGGCGTTCGGATCTTTGTGATGCTGTACAAGGAAGTGGAGTTAGCGCTGGGCATCAACTCTGAATACAGCAAGAGAACGCTGCTGACGCTTCACCCCAACATCAAGGTGCGTCTCTGCATTATATTATTATAGATATTAATGTATTTAATGCATACAGTTCATATATTTAATAATGTACCTCCACATGTTTACCATACAAACGTGTTTCCTGTCTGACTTCTTGTATAAATGTTGTATTTTCTGTCAAAATGTATTTCTGTGTTTATTTATTAATTTTTTAATTTCTGTATTTCTTCACCTATAGGTCAATAAAGTGGATAAATTAGGATGTAGTTAAGTACCATAGATAAATCATACAAAACAAGTAATTTGTCAAATAAATAAATACGTTTTATGTATTTATTCTATTTCTGTGCATATTTATTTATATTTATATTAACCTGAACATTGTGATAGATGAGGTTTCTATTTCTACTTTTCTTTCTTTATTATAATAAATATATTAATGACTCGTTAAATAAGTAAATGAAGTAATGTCTAAAGTAAAGCTTTAGTTCTCATAGGTTTAGCTCAAAGACTGGAAGTGGGGAGAAAGACCTCTCCATGAAAACGCCCTTAATTCTGCCTAACTTGAACCTTAATATAAATCATACAGATTAATTATATAAAGATTCAACCCCCCACAGTTGTCGTGAACGGTTATATTATCTATAGAGACTGGAACAGTTGTTAATACCGCGCTGTAAACATGTTTATTTCTGCTGTAAAGCTCAGCGTTTTAACATAGAGTTCTATGGCGATCGACTCGATTCTGGAGCCTCAAGTGGCCGTTTGAGGAACTGCAGTTTCCTGTCTTGAGTTCTTGCATTTATTTATTTTTTTTGTCTTCCTCCAAAGGTGATGCGTCACCCCGACCACGTCTCCTCCGCCGTTTACCTGTGGGCGCATCACGAGAAGATCATCGTCATCGACCAATCGGTGGCCTTCGTCGGTGGGATTGACCTGGCGTACGGCCGCTGGGACGACAGGGAACACCGGCTGACGGACATTGGGAGTGTTACACTCTCACACCTGGAGCAGGTCTCGCACGCACACACACACTCACACCTACACACACACACATAACTACACATACCTCCACACACACACACACAAACATATAATACGTCAAAAGAAACTCCAAAACCCATTGAATTATCTATAAAAATATGCATCGTCACAAAGCTTAAAACAAGAAAACATTTCTTATTTTAACTTTTAGAGGATTCCTCATTATAATTATATATAATACGATTTATTAATCCAACCCTAGATTCAAATTAATTCATAAAAAATAAACGTTTATTTGTCACAAACACAATGATACACGGTACAAAATGTAGTGAAAGTCTTTTCTGCCTAGCAACAGATGCAACACTCCAATATAGAAAAATAGAACAATACTTAAGGAATAAAATAAAGTGAAATATTTTACAAAAACAGTACTTTTCAGAGGAATGAAAGAAAACCCACCAGTCTTCATCTCTCTGTATTTCTTCTCTTGTTTCAGTGCTTTTATTTTGATACCCTGATTAACGCTGACCGTGTTTAAATGATTCTCAGCCGGAAGCCACCTCCTCCAACATGGCCGCCCCGTCCGGCGGCGGCGGCGGAGCCCAGAGCAACGGGAGAGGCATCTTCACGGTGATGGACTCGGCGGACCAGCCCAGGCTGAAAGGTCAGGGGAGGCCGAAGAGGTCCAGGTTCAGCATCCGGAGACACCTGCAGAAACACGGACTGGCCTCGGCCGACAGCGACAGCGAGCTGGAGGAAGAAGAGAGTGAGTGGATAGATATTTATTGAATATATTTAGTTATGTTTATTGATGGCATAATGGTCTTATTATTTACGTTCTTTCAAGAGGACAGTTGTGATGTTTTTAAGTGTGTTTGTATGAGGTTCTTCTCCACAGTCAGTGTGTTACTACAGTGTGTTACTACAGTGTACTTGCTGTCAGACAGACCTTTCTGACGGGGAACTGAAGCTGTGATCTACCACCAGACTACGCTGTGATTTTAGCTCTCAGAACACAGGAGTTGCTTCTCTACCGCTGCCTTGATCGGATAGTTTGTTTGTGTTGTAGTGCGACTTTGGTGAATCTAAACCAAATCTTTAAAAACACCAAAGTCACACTATTGGACAACAGTGTCGTCTGTCTCGGCCATCTGAGGTAGTAAAACGAGTCCCGGAATGCAAGAACAGGAGTTGGCGTTCTTTAAAGCTTCTCCTCCGGCAGCGTTGGCCTCCGTCTGTGCTGCGGTCTCAGTGTTTGTGGCCGCTGTGTTCAGGTTGGTCCATCAGCATCTCCAGCCAGCACACGCTGATCCCCGGCAGGCCGGCGGAGCTGAGGACGGCCGCTCCGATCGGCCAGAGCCGGGCTGGTGAGTCGGTGGTGATGCCGTGTGCTTTGCTGTGGTTCTGATCCGGATTGAACGGCCTTTGAGTTTCTGAGTTTGCAGCTTTGTTTATATAATATGGAGATTTATTCAGTATATCTTTTAGTTGATTGAGCTTTTTAAGATTTACTGTCTTGAATCTGTTGGTCAAAGCAAAAAAGTCAAATATTTGCTTTTCAAATGTGACAATTTGCTGCTTTTCTCTGATTTATATCGTCTTAAACTTTGTATTTTAAAGGTTTTGGACACAAACAGGAGATTTCAAGACATCACTTGAGTCTTGCAGAACTTTGTTTTTTAATTTTAATAACAAAAATATAATAAATTGAGGCGATGGACCCAGGCTTAGAAGTATTAAGTTGATTTAATACATAAAAGCTAATAACCACGAGGATAAAAACGGGCAAATACTGACGTGTGGCCTATAAATTCTTACATTTCTCTATTATGCATTACACCAGTTTTTTATTAACTGCTATTTACTACTTTAAACAAATTACTTTTAAAAAACACACATTATTGCGGTTCTTTTCTTCGATTGCTCTTCATTTACTCATGTTTGTTTTAATGTATTTCAGGTAAGTAAAATGATTAAAACACATGTTTGAGTGCAGTGTGCATGTCTCCTCTCAGAGGTTCTAGTAATCTCGACTGAAGTGCTTTCTTCCCTCTGGCGGCTGTTTAATTTCTGCTGTCAGAGTATTTCCAAACACCGATGTATCACATGATCAGACCACAGCTTCTCTCTTAAACCAGTCGCACGTGGTGTTATTCTTCATTCTGTAATGTCTTTGTTACCGGCATCAAACAGGAGGAAACACAGCATTTGTTGGACTATTTTCAGCGGCGGATTAATCCACATTTGGCGACTCCTCTGGTTGTATAGAAGTCTATGAGAAAATGACTCTACT